AATCGTTTCTTCGTTATTCATCATCCATCCATTTCTTCTTTTTTGACTATCTTTCTCTCTTCGACGTTTCTCGTCTGCCCCACTACTGCCGATCGAACTGCACTTCTTCGTTGTGCCGTCTTACCTCGTTACTCCGTTCTTCTCTTCATCGAAGTGCGTCGCTTTCTTTCCGCCTGTCACACTCTCTCCTTAGGTTCGATTTAAGCCCTCCACTGTGTAAGATCTTCCAACACTACGCCACATACGGGACTCATTGTAGATTCTCAATGATTTTCCACCCCCGGGGACACGCCTCAACACCCCCGTGATAAAAGTAACGCGCGAGATGTGCGAGGCTCGCGAGGACGACTTTGACGTATACTCGAAGCGCCGCAGGATTCTGTTCTTCGTCCACTTCTTCTTCTTCTTCTTTAGTTTATCCCTCTTTAGCTATCCCGCTCTTCCCATCTCTTTTTCTTCCATTAGTACTCGTGGCTCACTTCAACATAGTTTTGCAATTCCCTCTCGCATCACGCGAGATTTTTGCGAAGAGACATCAAAACTGGCATTTAAACACAGCGTCGCTCTCAACGATCATCGTATCAATATATCATATATTTGTACGCGTGCAAACGACAATTAGCAAGTGTCACTTACAGACGGTATCGCTTTCTTTCCGATGTTGTTGTTAATTGATAAACGCGCGTATCGGTTGGCGCAGGCGGTTTATTATCTTTTTGAGCACTTTGATGTGCCGTGAGAGATAAATCCGCGAGAAAAATCCGTAAACAAGTCGTTTCCGATTACGAGCGCGCGCACGTTTCGCGATCATTGATCATTGATCATTGATCACGTTCGGACTGTTTGCGAGAAACGCGATTGATGTTTACATGTCGTCGGAGAATCGATTATCCCAGCCAAAGTACCGTTGATCGCCATTATAAGCGGCGGAGTAAAATAACGAGTAACGGCGAGTAAAATGTACGAGGCCGGGCACGTCTACACGGCGACTGATACGAAAGTCCGAGTCTACTTCACGGAGGGTGGAGAAGAAGCGGAGAAGGGGAGTACAGCAAAGAGTTGGGTTTACTGATAATAAACATCTTTCCCGAATACACAGACGAACGATCATTGGCCCGTCCGAATTTACACAACGTCGTGCTGAAACGTGCCTGCGGCATTCTGGCAATAACCTACAACCGCGTAGAAAAGGAAAGCTCCTCACTCTGTATGGGAAGTGATATTTTCTAATTCTCGACAGTAATCGTAATAAACATTCCGCTTATTCGCTTGTTAGAAATGAATGAAATGAATGGAAAGTGGAAATAACGTCAGTCGATATATAATGTTAATGTTATACATGAATTTTGTTTAATATAACGACGCAATAAATTATCAAGAATAACTGTTTCAATCAAAAGAAAAGGAAAATATTTCTTTATTTATCCAATCATAATCCAGTAACTTACAAATTACAGCCGATTATTTTAATCAAACACTTGTTACCACTTGTCAATATAGGCATTAACATTGAAAACAAGTGCTCCATAGCATGAGCACATCTCAAATATATGAAAAAAAAAGTTAAGTAAAAACCATTATTAATTAATTAAAGAATTAAGATAGATTAATTAAAAAGACTGAGACATATTTCTAGACATGTTGAAAAAAAGGTTATTAGGCAGAACTTAATTACCTTGTTGTAAAAATGTTATAAAATTGAAAATGTTCTTCTTACTGTGAGAGCGAGAAACATTACGCCAAATTGTTTTGCGGCTCCGACGGGGGATCGAAATTTTGGCGGGTTTGGCGAAAGGTGCCGCGAACCCGATTTTCCGAATGATCTGAATTTTCTTCATCCCCGGCGCACACCCGGAAAACACAAATGGCCGAATTACGAGCCGTATGCCGTCGCCCTACGCGGAAAGGGGGAGAATTACGGCCCAATGAGAATATAAAATGTCGCTCGTTAACGGAGCCAATGCCAGAAATCGCTGAAACTTGCCTGCAATAAAAGGTAACGAGTATTCGCGGGCTGTAAACATCATCGTGGAACGCTACTCCGGAACATTTCATAATCCTGTTACGAGGCACTTTGACTTTCGTGGCCGGTACGCGACGTGTACGCGCTTGTACGTGTGGTGCGCGCGCGGAGATTGGAAATAAAATTCTGCTATCGAGGTGCAAGTAACGGCGCGGCGTTGCCGTGCCGTGTAACATCGTTGAAATCGTGAGAAAATATAAAAGGAGAGGAGAATATTGTCTCGTGGTCCTGCACGGAGCGCGATTAGGATTCCTTCTGTCGCGTTAGACCGTCCTCTCGTGACACTCGACTCCGGCTGAGTTGTAAGGCCAACGAAAATAGCGCGCTATCGATCGGCTTCATCGCATCAAAATGGTCTATCTATTATATCTAACAGTCTCTCGATCGCGTACGATTCTTATCGGGTTCTTGCACGAGCACGAGATATTCGACACGTCTTAATATTTGTTTAACGTTCTGTTTATACTCCATATCGTAGCAAGAGAGTTCGCTTTTGTATTCACGTTTTCAAATTCATAATTACCACCGGATGAATAATGATGTTTTAAAGAAAGAAGACTTACCTCTCGAATCGAAAGAGTGGATTAAAGAATGCGTAAGTGAAAGAAGTGTTAACTTTCTCTAGGATGTTCCATACGTCAAAGTTATCTTTGATTTGTCAAAAGTTAAAGGTACACCAATTCTCCGATAATCTATTTTTCGCTATTCTTTCTTTGTTGAATCGCAAAATGCGGTCTGGTGCGGCTCGAAAGTTTTTCTTCGTCCCGCAAATTTCTATCAGCGAGACGTACGGTTCACGATGCGTCGCGAACGTATGAGCTCAGCTGTCTCTTTTTCGAGGTAACACGATATCCTGAAGGAACCTAATGTCGAGCAAGCGGAGGTAACACCGGCCGAACGACGGTAGGTCCGAGTAGGCCTTTCGTGTAATGGACGGCTCAAATATTTATCATCGGCCGCGTAATTTAAGGTGCGTTTAGCAAACGGAAGACGACGCGAGGAAAAACAAACAGGACAGGGGCGGTGTGGCATAGCCGGCGAGAAGGAGAGAACGAAGCAGCGGCGAACGAGGAGGAGAGCAGGCGGTGGCGGTGGCGGAGGCGGAGGCGGGGGAGGAGGTGGGTGAGCAGGGATGCTGAGGGGGGTCGAGCAACGATAAGCGGGAGCGAGAGGGCGCCGAGGGCGAGAGAGGCGGAAAGAGTAGCTCAAAGGGGCCGCCGCGGGGTCCAGAGGGCCTTGTGAGAAGGCGCAAACCCCAATAATAGCACCAGAATTTATATACCTGCACGAACTCGGTGGAGAACGGTCCCGCGGTTGGAAGGGTCCGCCGACCCAGGGACGGCTCATTGGACAATACCAGCAACGCTCCCGGACAATACTTTCGACGATGTCCGTTTCGGTCTCGGCATCCGGTAACTTAGAATGTCAAGCAAGGCGTAACTGCTGGACGATGCGCTTGCAAATTTGATAGTCGGAGAGGATTTATGATTTTTCTGAAAAGAACGGAGATCGGATTTGAAAAGGTAGATATATTATCGATGAAAGTGCTCGGTCCGCGCGCGATTTACGCGCTTCGCGTAATCGTAAGGCAACTCCGCGCGGAACGACGCGTGCAATTTCGATTTTAGATGCGTGCGTCTTTTAAAGGCGAGCGGCCCTGGATTTCGCCGTCGTCTCTAGCATCCTTTATTGTATAGAGAAGGAAGAGCTGAGGAACGGAGCGAGGGAGAGAGTAGAGGCAGCGGTTCGTGGCAGCCTGGAGAACGAACCATCCATCACGGACGGCTCAAAGCCGTATCTTCTGGTGACCGGTGCCCGTCGGTACTGGATGCCGTAGCGTGGCCAAATATTGTGAAAGGTCCAGAAAAGGTAAGAACGTGAATAAATTTGCTGCGCCGATGTGAGAGGGAAGGCAGGAGAGTAGAGGACGGAAGGAGAGAGAGAGAGAGAGAGAAGCAGTAGAAAAAAGCGAGAACACTGGTCTCCCTCTCTTCTGGTCAGCTCGAAAGGTTGCGTCTTGTACTTGTGCGTGTCGAGATGGAGAGAGGAAGAAGGCTCTTTAACCACTGTCGGCTCTTTGAACTCTGCCGATCTCTCTTGCTCTGCCTTTCTTTATCTTTCTCTCTTTCT